ATTTAAATAGATACAAAAATAATAACATGAAATGTTATTTTTGTAATTATAATTCTGAAAGAATTATTTTTAACATTTTGAAAAAAATACTCATGTTCAAAATTTTTAATAAAAATTCATCATAAAAATAATTAGTTTTTTTTGCCTTTAGACACTTTTCTGTAGAACAAAAATCAAAAAAGTTATCACAATTTTTGAAAAAAGGTACAAAAATTCGAGATATATTTGCTTTGAAGATTTCAAAGTTTAGTATTTTTCTCAATTTTCAATAAAATGTCTTTTTCTGCTTTTTTTCTTAAATTTTGTGCAAAAACAAACAACTTTGTCTAAACTTTGCCTTTAGACACTTTTCTGTAGAACAAAAATCAAAAAAGTTATCACAATTTTTGGAAAAAGGTACAAAAATTCGAGATATATTTGCTTTGAAGATTTCAAAGTTTGGTATTTTTCTCAATTTTCAATAAAATTTGTTTTTCAGAATTTTTCCTTAAATGTTGTGTAAAAAGAAACAACATTTCCTTTAAATACTTTTCTGTACAACAAAAATCAAAAAAATTATCACAATTTTTCTAAAAAAATACAAAAATTCGATATATAGGGTAAGTGCGGGTATAGTCGGACAGTACTAGTAGTCGGACACTTTCGTGTTTTTTGTCAAATAAATAATAATGCATTGTGATAATTACTTTTAAAAGTATACTAGACGAATGTGTGAAGTTTATATTTTATTAAAATAGTGTTATTTTCGAAAATAATTAAACAAGAAATATTTTATTTAATGTTTTAAAAATCATGGTGTCCGACTATAGATACAACCATTTTCGAGTAGCGCGATGAGTGGCACAAAGTTTTGTTGATAATTAATCATAAATATTAAAACTTATAGGGTTTAAATATTATATTAATAACTTCTAATTTGCTTTAATTCCATTTTCCAGCAGATAGCAATTAAAAAATTATCTGTTTTACTTTATAAATCCAAAATATCTGACAGATGTCCGACTATAGAAACAAGGGGAAAAAGTGTCCGACTACTAAAGCATTCGTAATTTTTTATTAAAATGTTTATATTTTATTAAATACTCAACTATTTGTAACAAATTTATATGATTTTTAATCCTGAAGAACTCCTTTAATTAATAATGTGCTTATAAACACAGTAGATATTTGCTATTTCAAGAAAAAAAGCATAATTTAAGATTGTATCCTTAAGTGTCCGACTACTAGTGCATTTACCCTATTTACTTTGAAGATTTCAGAGTTTAGTATTTTTCTCAATTTTCACCAAAATTTCTTTTTCTATTTTTTTCCTTAAATTTTGTGCAAAAACAATCAACTTTTCCCTTAGACACTTTTCTGTACAACAAAAATCAAAAAAGTTATCATAATTTAACTGTTTGGAAATTTTGCATAATTGAACAACTATTATCTTGAAAAAATTATTTTAAAATAACTTAAGAAAAAACTACGTAGAGTTTTATTTATTACAAAAAAATTGGGTTTTTGTATTTAAATATTTTTCTGGGAATTGTCAGGGAAATTGATAAACTGAAACTTGTGACCACCCAGATTATTATTATTATTATTATTATTAATTTTATTATTATTTTCAAAAATTCATTTTTAATTTAAATAATATTAAAATAATTTCTTTATAATAAACAATAATATTGAGATTAAAATTAGCTAATACTTTTCGTTGAATATGGTGAACTAAGAAAATATCTCTCTTAATAGAAATGGAATTATTAAATAATATTTGGGAATTATTTTTTACTAACTGCAATGGATATTGAAACTTGAAAGTATATTTGAAAAGAAATTTGGTGTAAATTTATTGTTTTTATTAATAACACTTATACAATTTATATATACAATTAAAAAATAGATCGCCCTGTATAATATACGTGTTGTCATAATACGACTCATACAAAAATATTAGTTTTTTCTAAATATTTATACTCACTTTCTTTTGTTTATTATATAACCACTATTATTCATAATTTTGAAATGCAAATGAATTTTTATAACAATATTTTTTTCCTTTTAATTTAACTCTAAATGTAGTTGAATTTTCAATTCAAATGCTTCTTTGCATGGAAAATTTCACATAATTTAAAAAATTTCTATTAATTTGACAATTTGTAAAAATTTGTTCATTAGTTTGTAATTTAATTTGTTAATTGGTTTGTAAATTAATTAATTAATTAATTCATAAACTGATTTATTTATTAATTTGTCAATTAGTTTTTGAACTGATTTATAAATAAATTTTTCAAGTCACTTGTTCCTTAAGTTATTAATTAATATATTAATAAATTTATGTACATAAATTAATGAAAAAATAATGTAAAATTATTATTGCAAATATTATCGAGAATCCAGAAAAAGAGAAAATTGTTTAAAAATTCATTTGTTAATTAGTAAATTTAAATATATGAAGAATAATCATAATTTACAAACTAAATTAATACAAGTTATTGTGTTTTATTGGAAAATTTTATCTCAATGTTAAATATAAATTTACATAACCGAAGAAATTGGCAGTATTTACTGTGACATTAATAGAATACTGTATTGTCTGAGGCGCATATTTTCATTTGCCTTTCAATTAGAAAAATGAAATTATTTGAATAATTGATTCATATTTTGTGATGTCAAGAATATTAAATTGACTCTTGTTTGAAAATATAATTGTAGTATTTCATTTTTAATGAGAGAGAATGTATAAATATTGTTTTATTAAAGGAACTATTATTAAATTAAGAAACAATGGTTTATGAAGTATAATTTTAAAAATTTCATTAATAAGTTAAAATCTTTAAATATATAATTTTTCAGAATATTATTTTTATTCGATGAAAATCCTTTTTTTCAAGAATTTCTTTTTCTTATTTTTAGAATATTTTTTATTATCTAGTTCATTATTTATGACACGCATTTTGCTAGAAATTAGTAAAAGATTTTACTAACGTCTAAATTAAACTTTGCTAAGTTTTTATAGTAAATTTCGTTGCAAAAATTCAGTCAATAATTCTAAATTTAGTTAAAGTTTTTCTTAAATCTGACACTGAACCCTTCAGTAAAAAATACGAACATTAAATGTATAATTAAACATTATTTTCTTTACCAAAAAAAATAGTAGTTCTAATTTTTTTTACTGAACAGTTTAGTGAAAAACTTCCACTAATTTCTAGTTAATTTTCATTAAAACTTTTAGTAAAAATATTGAGTCGTGCAATTTTTACATTATTTCTAGAAATTTTTCACTAAAATACCTTTAGTAAAAAAATTAAACAGTAAAAATAATCAATTACAGAAAATTATTTTCATTATACTGAAAATTATAGAAGAAGCAAAAATTTTCCCCAAATTTCCACATGCGCCTCCATTATTTATTAGAAAAATAAATCTCTTCTAGATAATTAGAAACAACAACAATTAAAATAGAGTATATATAAATTTAACAAACAAAAATAATCTCTCGTTTTCTTAATATCAGTCTCACAATTCCTTGTCCCTATGGAATTTGACGAATCATTTTTAGGAACTGGGACAATAAAACCACTGTTTTGTTCGCATTCAATCTCTACATATAGTATATATATCTTCTCGCTCTATCACTCGTTTTACGAATTCCCCCCTAATACATTACAAATCTCTTTCATATAATTCCAATTTTACTAAAATTTTTAACGTTCAAATGAAAAAAAATATTTCTGTTTTTTGTAGTGTTTTTGCTTTCGTTATTTAACTGTTTCAATATTTTCAAAAATTACTGTTTTTGGGTAATTGAATTTGAATTTAAAGTAAAAATTCAAAATGGCGGCTTTAAGATGGCGACCGAAAAAATTTTGAATTCAATCAGATTAATTGAATTTAAAATTTTTTCGGTTATTATTTTGAATATTTAAATTTTAACCAAAAATTCAGATTCACAGACACTGAAAACCATCGAGCAAGATTTTTTAATAATTGTTTTAATTTTAAACTATTGTTAACTATTATTTATATTCATTAACTTTTGACAACAGATTTGGATCTAATGGAAAAAAAATCCTCAAGAAAGAATTATTATCAATTTTTTAATTTTAAACTATTTTTAGTCGACATTTTGAATTTTTGAATTTTGACTAAAGATTCGGATTTAACGAGAAAAGAATCATTTTTTATAATTTTAAAATAGTTTATCCAACAGGATTTAGACTTTAAAATAAGAATTAATTAACACTTAAATAATTAAAATATTAGTAATAATAGTATTTTCTAGAAAAAATTCTTTTGTTTATACAATTTATTTATCATCCAAATTTCTTATTCTATCGCTTCTTAAAAATTTTTAAAAAATGATTCTATTTTAATTTAATATGACTTTTTAAAAAAAATAGGTTTTTACAACGTCAACGTTCAGATTTTTAAATATTAGAAAATATGCTTATTTGTTTAAAGGAAAATTAATTTTTTTTTCGGTATATTAGAATTTAATTAATATTCTGAATTTCTGATATAATTTTACTAAACTTCACATAAGTTTTTTTATACATATTCCGTTTCCGTGTATATCGATATAATTTCATCTATGTCAAGAAATTAATTTAAATATATAAAATAAAATCTCGTCAGAAAATATTTTGACCATTTTTATTTATTCCTAAAAATTTGTAGATTTTGAAATCCATGCGTAATTTTATAGAAAATATGTATTTGAATACAAAAATAAATTGAAAAAAAAATTTTTTAATGAAAAAATTAATTTTTATCATTTTTTAAGCATTTAAAAAAATCTTTGTTTTTTGGCTGAAAATGCCTTAAAAAAGTACTATAATTATTCAATGTTTTATTTGAAAATTAATTTATTTATTTTTCTACCTAATTTTAGTTCATAATTTTTAATATTTTTTATTTTTTATATATAAAAATTATGATCTGAAATTAGTTAGAAAAATAAACAAATGAATTTTCAAAAAAAAGATTGAATAATTAGTATTTTTTAGCATTTGCATACGAAAAGTAGACTTTTTGTCAAAAAAGGCTTCAAAAAATTAAAATTAAAGGCAGATTAAGCATGGGTTGCAAAAATTAACAAAAAAAAATAAATAAAAATTCAAAAGACGCAGACGGTCACTTAAAGCCTCTTTTGTTAAAACAAATTTTATAAAATATTTATAAGGATTTTTCTAAGGATACCAAATTGAGTCAAAAAACGAATAAAATATGTTGCGAGGCAACACTTTTGATTCATTTATTTGTCTCAATTTGATATCCTTAAAAATACTGTGATTATAAATTTAGAAATTCTTATAAAATCTCAGCACAATTTAAGAAAAATAGTTTAAAAAATAACCATTGTATTAGTCAAATGCTAGAAATTAAAAGTAGTAATACAAAAATATCAGCATTTCATTTCAACGTTAAAAACTTAAAAAACATTAATCACCAAAAAAAGGAATAAAAAAAAACGATAATCAACTCTCGACCTTAGAGGCAGTTTCCTCATCATATTGCACTGACGGTATCATTGGTGGTTTAAATCCATATTCCATTTTTGATTGTCGAAAACTCCCCTTACCAATTGGATGATATAAATCCTGTTGCTTGACTTTTCTCAATGTTGTTATTGGTGAAGGTGAACGAGTTGCGATAGTTGAATGAAAGTTGGACGCTTTACTTTGAAAACCATGCTGTTGACCTTGGCTGTGATGGGGAAGATTCGATGTATGCTGCATTGGAACTGGACCAATGTACCCGTCCATTTCCGCTTTCTCTTTCGTCGTCAGCCGATGCAAAGCGTGCCTCCGGCGATTATTTGGATTGTAGATCGAATACGTTGGTTGGGCGGATATTGTAAAATGTGAGATAATTTGCTTTTTAGGATTGAAATTCTTCATGAAATAAGGATTTGTTGTTAGGGGTAATTTTTGTTCAAGTAGGCCAATGAAGGGTTTTTGGTAGATAAATGTCTGCTGTAGAGGTTGGGTTAAATTATTCTTGATTATAGATAAACCGTAGAGAGGTAGGGAATTTGTAGTTTGCGTTGAGTACAAGTTGTGGTTTTGAGGCTTCATTATCTGTTGGTAACTGACACCGTACTGCACTCCATAAGGTACATGAATCGGTACAGGCTTTTCCAAGTACTTAGCAACCTCAATCGGTATTTTTCTCTCGACTATTTTTTCAATTTCGATTGGATAGGGTATTTTCTTTTCGACTAATTTCTCGACTGGTATTAATGGTACGTGCAGTTGTTTCTCGACAATTTTTTCAATAGCGAATGGTTGTCCCATTATTTTTTGATATAGTGGTATTTTTTTCTCGACTAATTTTTCTAGCGGTAGGGAATACATTTGGTGGGAATGCTGCTTTTCTATTTGTGGCATTTGATAGGGGGACTTCTTTTCGATTTTCGAATAGTGAATTTGTTTTTTGTCGGTAGATTTTTGTGATGGTGGTTGAAAGTCCAAATTTTCGGAGTATGATGGGAGAATTTGTTGGGTATGATGATTAGGGTCTGGGAGTTTATTGCCCGGTGATCGATAGGTTTGAATTGACTCGTCGACTTGTTCATTCCCGGTGCGAATTGCATTTATGGATTGCTCCTTCATTTCGATGTTTGCTTTTAAATCACGACTCTCGAGTTGTTTGGGATAAATGTATAATTTTGGTAGTTGGGATTGAAAAATATTCTCGTTGAATTCTTGATTAATTAGATAGACATGAGACTTGTCCTCGGGGATGTTTTGGTAAATTGTTGCATCGTGATTGATTTCATAAGGAGAGTTGGTGGCAGAGGAAGCATCGGAACGTGGAAGGTGTTTCGAATTCTGTGCATTCTCGGCGATATATCGTTGCCCCCCGTGGAGTTGATCGATGTGAATTACCTGCGAGAACATTTGAGGTGGATAATGTATTTCTTGAATCGGTGCATTATGATAAATCTCAATGGACTTTTGAATTTCAATTCCGGATTTTTCTGTTGTTGTTGTTGTTGTTATTTGTTGATTCGTTTTTTGTGTATCGGCCTCGATATTGTGATCGACTTTTTTCTCGACAATTGGTAAATTATTTGCTGTACGACTTATGAAATGTTCTTTACCAGCATTAACGAGAGCAACTCCGGCTTGTATTGGATTCAATACAATGGAGGATATTGTATCGTAAGGCTTATTTTCAAGATTTGATGGGGCAATTATTTCCGGTGCTCGTAAAGTTGTGGGATATAGGGGCATTGGTGTGCTGGACGTGATATTATCTTCGCATTCAAAGGTTGTGCTGTACTCGAATGGTTTATGATTGGAGACTTCCGCCACTACAATTGGTTTTGAAAAACCGTCGAGTGCTTTTGGTATTGGTGTCATCCATTTTTTGTCGGGGAAAAATTTCGAATCACTAATCGAAGGGGATGATCCATGGGTTTTAAACTGATTTTCACTCGACTGTAATGCATAATTTATTTGCTGTGGATTTGATAATCCGATTTCCGATTCCTTATGTCTGGGATTTTCAGTGCTGGGGTAAACTGTCTTTTGACTAGTTTCAATGGCATTGCTGAAAGCGGGCAAGACGCTTGAGTATTGATTTGTCGCTGTCGTCACTATTGGACTGAGTGTAGTTGAGGGAAATGCATTAAAGGCACTTTGGGACGGTAGTTGTTGAGTTAGGTCCAAGTGACCTGAGAAACCGACATTGTACAAATCGACACGATTCTTTTTTACAATTGGCATGCTCTTGTAGCGTTTTGGTGATAAATTATTGGGTAAAATTTCTTCCTGTTGATGAATCAATGAATGTTGATTCATTGATTGTGGCAAATTTGGTGGGGAATTAATGCCAAGTCTTTGGCCAAAAGTACCGGAATTTTCGTTGAACAATTGTTCTTCAGTGATTTCTGATGATAAATCGTTCTTGTTGTCTCCGGAATCATTGACATATGAGATGTCGACGGGCGACGTTTGGGCTGTTGCAATGGCAGCACTTTGGACGATCACTGGTAATGTTGTGGAATGGCTGCTTGTGAATCCGTCTCCGGAGGGAATTCCATTCGACGAGATTACTTCGAAACTCTGTCGTTGCGGAAGATTTACGTAATTTATGTTACGAGACTCCTCCGAGATGTTTGACTCGAGTAAACTCCCTGGTTTGACATCCCTGTTGTCGCCCAGTATTGACTGATCGTGCTTTACGATTTGCAAAGTTTCCCCCCCGCCACCACCCACTTCGCCCTCCTTATGTAACATGTACGGCTGAATGATCTGAACTGCTTGAATAGTCTGTCCTTCCCTCACAGTTCCCGATGCACCAATCTAAAAGCAATTGTTCATTCAAAAATTTATCATCATCATTTTATTGTTTTAGCATAAAAAAATTTATTTCTTACTAATTTGGATTCGCACAAAAGAAGCGATAAATTTCTTTATCCTTTAAGTGGAGATTTTTTTCTCTTTCAAACACTTGTAGTTAAAAAACAGTAGGCATTAAAAAAAAGAGCCGCAAAATACTTACGACATCGTCATCATTCTGTAGTCTCTTGAATGCCTCTTCGCCAATAGTAAAGAGCGCTCCTCCTGCAGTGCTCTGCTCGTTTGAAGACCTATACTTCACGAGCGGCTGGTAACCTAACTCGTCAGCAAAATATTTGACGTCTGTTTGAGATTGGTCGGAATTCACGTTATACCGACCACTAGCCAATTCGTCATATCTTGCTTCGATTTTTCCCTGACTCTTGCCATCATCATTTCCAATATCATAATTCTGATATTGATAATCTGGAGAATTCTGAAAAAATACGAGAAAATTTATTTTTCACAATAAACAGAAGTATATCATTATTTTGTCGAGGATAAATTTTCATGTTTTAGTTGGGGAAGAGATGCATTAAGGATGTGAGAAAGTGTATCACATTATATCATATTATACACACGATTGTGTGTATGCGTGAATGTAACACTCTTTGACATTGCTCTCGTTCCTTTTCCTCTATATAATTTACAGTGTGTGTCTGTGCAAATGCAGGAAAATTGAGATCATAGTTCTCATATTACAATTTACATTTTAGTACATAAAGTCTACTGCTATACTGGGGCACTATATGATTACATAGAATAATTTCTAGATTAAAAGAACGGATATTTTTAATTTAATTGCTATAGTTTTGTATTTTAATTGAAAACCGGTTATTATTCTAATTATTTTCATTTGATAACATATCATTATTTTTAAATTCATTGTAATTAGTTTTTTTGTACTTCATCACCTTTTGTAGAAACTGCAATTAGAGGATTATCGCACAGATGTGAAGAAAATGTTTTCTTTCTTTTTTTTTTTTGAACGGTTGTGGAAGATTTATTCCATAATCGAACATTTGTCACATATTTTGTATTCCAGCAGTAAAATATGAATTGAATATTATGAATAAAATAAAGACAGAAGAAGAAAGTAGCTACACGATTGGAATATCTGCCTATACAGTTAAAAATGTCTGGGGAAACAATTGCAAAATTTTTTATCGAAATTGGTTTTCTATCGAATATGCTTATCGGAAAATAAACTTCCTAAATCCCATTGTGCTATATCATTGAAAGTCTCCAATGGGAACGCTATTAATGTTCCATGGACTAAGAAGACAGTAAGCCACCGTTAATAATATCTTATAAGTGCACTATTAATCCTCCTTCGGTGTGGCAATAAATCATAACGTTGCGTCGGTTGGAGGTTCGGGTATGAGAAACTCGATCCCCCTCTCCTCTCCTCTCCTTCACTCTCTCTCTCACTCCTTCTTGTAATAAACGTCTTGATAATAAAACTTTGTAGAACTTGCAATAGATAAAAAAAAAAAAAAAATTGCGAATTTCAGAACGTAAATGACGCTTTACGTGTACCGTTTAACAAACAAGTTTCTCGATCGATTTGATCTTTCTGAATGAAAAATAGTTCCGTCTTCCCCTGAGTAAATCAAATTTTTTATGACCTATTTCTATATATTTTTGTATCCTGTGTCAATTTTTAATTAATTTGAAACCATGTCAGGTGTATTTATGTTTCTTTTTTTATTTTTACTGGTTACAATTTTTATTTCGTACTTTAAAACTCGTCGTATTGATTTCGTTTATTTTTATAATTTTCGGTGAGCGGAGGAAGTAAGATATGTATTTTCAATTTTTGAATAACGGGACTTTGGGACAGTTGTTTGTTTACAAAATTTTTGTCTGTAATTTCTTAGTGAATTTTCTAGATGTCTTAAAAGTGGTTTTTGAAATATTTTCCCGGACTGATATTATAAAGAATGTCTTCTTGAGTATTTTCTTTGAGAAAAATGACTTTTTTAAACAGTTTTTGGATAGAAAAATTTTGTAATTTGTTTGAAAGAAAATTTTTTATCTGCACTTTCTTTTAAATTTTGTGTTGCATTTGTTTTTGGACAGAAAATTTTTGTTCTTTCTAGACAAAAATTTTCTTTCCGCGTTTTTTTAATTTTGTAAATTTTAATTTAATACTGAATAGAAAATTTCTACTATTTTTTAAAGACAATTTTCTTCCGGGTACATTTTTACTTTCGTATTTGCATTTGTTATTGGATAAAAGAATTGTAAAATTATTTTAAAACACCAATAAATTTTTTATAAAATAAATATTTAGTCATTATTATAATTCCATATAGGAATTAAGATTTTCAAAAAATTTCAAATTCAAATCTTTATGAAATTCAACAACTTATAAGATTATTATTATAAAACATAAAGATATCAATTACTCCGAGTCTTTGACTCGGAGTGATCGATATCTTTATGTTTCATAATAATTTAAATTTTTATTAAATTTTTCAAAAAAAATTAAATTATTTACAAAAATTTTAATAAAATACTTCCTAAGAATTCAATTATTTTTTACAAATAATAACATTTTTCACATGAATGCAATTATTTGAAAAAAAATTTAATAAAAATTCATTGCAAGAATCCAACTATTTTCATAAATAATAAAATTCTTCACAGGATTTCAATTATTTAAAAAAAATTTAATTAAAATTCTTCACAGGATTTCAATTATTTTCAAAAATATTCAAAATTCAATTATTTTTTTAAATTCATACTACAATGCTTTTAATATTCAATTATTATGTAAAATTTTAACTGAAATTTATTTTTAATTCAATTTTTATTAAAAAATTCGACGAAAATTTAATTATTTAAATACAAAAATGAATAATTTATTGAATAAATAAATGTTTTCTAAAATTAAATCCTCATAAAGAATTTCATCAACAAATTTTTAAATAATTGGATTTTTTCTTCTTTTGAAAAATTTTATTATAAAATAGCAGATATTGAAAATGATTGAATTGAGGAAAATTTTTGAAAATAATTGAAATTTTGACAAGAATTTTATTAAAATTTTTGAAAATAAGTGAATTTTTGAGAAGAATTTTATTACTTTTAAAGATAATTGAAATTTTGACGTGAAATTTTTAAAAAATTTTGAACATAATTACATTTTTACGAAGAATTTTATTACTTTTGAAAATAAATTGCATACTTCAATAAAAGTTTCCAAAAAAAATTAAATTATTTACTAAAATTTTAATAAAATCCTTCCCAAGAATTTAATTATTTAAAAAAATGCAATAAATTTCGTTCTAAAAATTCAATTATTTTCATGAATAATAAAATTTTTCATAGAATTGCAATTATTTTTAATACAAATTTAAATAAATTTCTCAAAAAATGTAATTATTTTCAAAAATTTTTGACAAAAATTCAATTACATTTCACAAATAATGAAATTCATCGCTGAAATTCAAATATTCAAAATTCAATTATTTCTTTAAATTCATACTATACAATGCTTTTAATATTCAATTATTATGTAAAGTTTTAACTGAAATTCATTTTTAATTCAATTTTTATTAAAAAATTCGACGAAAATTCAATTATTTAAATACAAAAATAAATAATTTATTGAATAAATAAATGTTTTCTAAAATTGAATCCTCATAAAGAATTTTATTAACAAATTTTTAAATAATTGAATTTTTTCTTCTTTTAAAAAATTTTATTATAAAATAGTAGATATTGAAAATGATTGAATTTTATGAATTTTAAAGATAATTGAAATTTTGACGTAGTATATTTAAAAATTTTTGAACATAATTGAATTTCTGCGAAGAATTTTATTACTTTTGAAAATAAAATTGAATATTTCTGCAATCACATTTGTAAATTCTTCTAAATTTAATTTTTTTTCAGTACTTTTCTTTTTTTACAGCCTTTTCCCTGATTTTCCTGACCTATGACAACACTGGAAATGTTAAAATATTTTTAAAATAAAAAACTTGCAGAATTTCCATGGAAACTCCACGGAAATTTCATGGAATTTCCAGGGGGTACTTCAATGGAATTTTTTGACGTGGGAAAAGAAAACGAATTTATACATTTCTCCATTTTTACATTTCGAGTAAAAATAAAAATTTACTACGAAAAAAAAGAATAATTCACAATTTAACAAAAGAAAAATTGCAAAAGAAAAATCTACTCTAATTAAATTGACAATTTTGTCTTTTTGCTTTTTATATTTTAACGAAAAGATAAAGTGCATTTAATGAAAGAGTAACTTCCCAATCAAGAAATTGCCGTTCTTTGTAAATGTTTTTGACTAGTAATTGTAAAATTATAGAGCCGACTCTTTCTCCCTGTCTCTCTCTCTCTCTCTATATATATATATAAAAGACGATAAGGTGAGTGTGGTTATTGGTTCTATATAGAATGACCGATTTGTAATTTTCTTACATTTACTCTTGTTTCCGTTACTTTATTGACTTGGGTCAGAATCAAGCCCGATGCAATAAAAGCAAAAGCGAATTGAACATCGGAAAATAAAGGCGTGCCGCGTTCGAGATGAGAGAAAGGTGTATATATAGTTATGGGAGTATCGTTGTTTCGAGTTGAATGACGCAGAAACATATATATATATATATATATAAGAAAAGGACCGAAAGAAGAGAGATGTTCTGAAACTAAGCGAAAAATAAAAAAGAGATAAAAAAAATAAAGAAGTAAATAGAGAAACGGGAGAAGAAAAAATGAAGTTCTATATAAGAATCCTGTCATCTTCAGCAAATTCTATTTGTTTATCTGCCATCTTTTAGAACATATTTTTTTCACAATTTTTTATTTTTGCTTTTTTCTTTCTTTTGGAAATAATGTTTCAAAAAGATACCGAGACTTTAAATGAAAATGTTGAGATTTAATCCAAGTGAGATTATGGGATTTATGGATATAATTGGATATTTTATCGTGATTTGAAAATCTCTCTAAAGTTTATACACACTTAACAAAGAATTTTTATGATAGAGGAAAAAATGAAATTTTAAATAGATCATAAAAAATTGTATTTCATGCTTCTGGATTTTTTTTTTCTCAAGTTTTATTGTCGATTTGAAAAGAAAACAGTGTATATAGAAACGCGGTAAATTGTACTTATGTCAAATTTCCTTTTTGGATAAATTTCAAAATTTTTTAAATTAAAATATAATTTATGCGTGAAATATAATGTAAGAAAGAATTTCATTTCTTCTGTATTATTAATTTCCTAAATGGTGAAAAATGACATATACTTTTGATTTAAATTTTTTTTATTAATTTCCAAAAAAATTGATCAAAATGAATTTTTTTTTACCTTACAATTTAGTTTTATTTATTCAAAATCAATTTTCTTTTTTTTCTCCTTTCTCCAAAAAAAAAAAACCACATTGAACATAAATTTTTCAGTCAAATTACGGT